AGAAAGATCTCGTCAAGCTGATCGGTGTGGTATAAATAACTCAAAATGCCCAAAAATGCAGTTACGACACTTCGTGAGATGACCGACGATAAGTTTGTAATTAAAATAGGGCAAATTGGGTACTCTACAAACACTTGTCTAGAACAAAAACTAAGGCACAGAAACTAACCACTCTAACGCAGAATAAATCTCAAGACATTGAGCTTTTAGTACATCCGCGTAATGGTTTGCTATGTGGGATGGGGAAGAAGTTATATCGTTTTATACATAGTCAAAAAGGCGAACTTCCTGACCGACACCGGCAAAGTCGCTTTAGGGCTCATTAACCCCGTGACCCCTAGCCGGGGAGCTCCGGCGGACTGCTGAGTCACGCGAACTAAAAGTAACAGAATCGGGCGAAAAGTGACGCCGTGGGATGTAGTAGTACATTTATGATAAATTCCAAACAACTACTGACATAGAACTTTCAAATTCAAGGACACTATAGGCTAGCGGAAAGATAAATCCCTTACCTTCTCAAGATTGAACATCAAAATCCTTATAGTTTACGGAATGCCTGATACGAAAGTGTTTCCGACCCCAAAAACATAGGTTAATTCCCGTGTAGGCCTACAAACTTTAACGTCCACATATCATTAATTTGCCCTATTTTCTGATTGGTTGCCAAGTTTCATTCATATTGCTCCAGAGATAGAGCTGAGCGAATCTGAGAAAGGTAGTCACCTACGTTCCGATCCGGCGCAAAAATGCACCCGCAACTAGGGACCAAAATTTTGCTGCATAGGTAAGCTCCATTGGCATTGCTAATCCGGTGCCATAAAACACTGCCAGTGAAGGTTTTTCATAAATTTTTAGAGGGAAGCATTAATAACTAAAAAGGCTGATTTCATACTTCTAACTGGCCTCTGCCATTTTCTTATTCAGCAATTTATAATATTTCAGTCCAGTGTCTTTCTAAAAAAAGTTGAGCTTGTTCTTTGAGCTGTTTAATTCTTTACGAGTTCAGAATTCTCCCTTTAAAAAAAAATAAATAAAGGTGCTACGGTACTCTTTTGGCAATCTACATGAAAAGATGACATACTGAAAAGCATGCACTTCCTCCTTTTTGCTACGCAATCTTGTCAGCAGTTCTTGCATCTGCAGTTCCGAGGTACAACCAGATCCAGTGATTTGGTTCCTTTCCTCGAAGGTCAGGACTGATTTCTGCACACAAAAAAAAATACAGTTAATAAAAAAACAACGGTTAGCTGAAAGATAATAAAATCCCTGATGTTTTTCTTCTTTCTCTTTGTAAAAAAAACAATAATCAAAAAGACAAAATGCTCTCATTTTTAAAACAAAATGAATTTCAAGAGTTATGTCACCTAGCTCTTCACTAGTATCCCTCAAGTAGGGGATCAAGGACTGGAGATGGGTCTCATTGAAATATTGAGAAATGCTTAAGCGTCTCAAACAGCTTCTCCCAATCCAGCCAACCGTACCTGCCCATGGTGATCCCTGTTCTCACTGACATGGATCTGGTGAATGGCGAGTTGTTGGCGCCAACAAACCAACCCCTCGTCTCCTAGAGTAAAACAACAGGATGGGAGCAGGTGTGGCCCCACAAGGTGTAGGAGGCAGAACCCACCGAAGCGTGGTAGACGCTATGCTCTTCAGTCTTCACTAACAAACCCCTTCTCTCCCTTGAGAGGGTGTCTAATCTGCCTAACACCTTTACTGCTTTTATCAAACACACCCTCTGCGGCTGAGAAGGTACCAGCCAGTTTGAGCGTGTCTGGGAGCAGACAACTTCATACAACCTGTTACAACACTTCAAAACAAATCATTAAAAGCAACAACAAACAAGATTGGATGAACGGATGGGTCCTGGGAAAGACAGGCAGAGCAGTTTTCAAACATATGACCACAACAAAAAGGAATGACAATATCATCAACAACATACAGAGAAAGAAACAGATTACAATCTTCCGCCTACGAACAGAACATATACAGCTCTACTTCCACCTGAACAGAATAAACCCGGAACTTCTCCCCAATGTGTCCCTTGTGTGACTATGCATATGAAACTGTGGATCATCACCTGTTCCACTGAACAGCCCTAAATGAAATCAGAGCTACCCTTCTCCCTCCAAGACCTAACAGTGACATGTCACTGAGCATTGGGCTTTCTCTTTCACTTCTCTACCTACTCTTTCTTCTGTTCTGAGTGATTATTCAGCAGATTAAGCAATCTGACAATGTCGAAGAGAAAACACAATGTCTACAGCCTGCAGATCAAATTGCAGTTAGTTACTAAAAGAAGTATATGAGAAAAACTTTTAAAAAGTGACATTTGCCGCATGCATGGCACTCCCAACTCTACGCTGTCGACAATAATAGCTATTTGAGCATCCCTCTCTCAAATTAAATCACAGCTAAACCAAAGAAAATCCTGCAGATTTCTGTTTAAACAGACTTTAAACAGACTTTAAACAGACTTTAAACAGACTTTAAACAGACTCCACTGTAAGCCAGCACTCTAAAAAATTCTGTCATTTCAAATTATGCGTAAATAAAAGCAGTAAGATAGCCTTTCTCATTGTCTTTGTAAAAAAAAAAAAGGCAACAAAAAGCTAGCAAGGTCATTTGACTTAACAATATTTACAATATTTAAAAACAATTTTGTTCAGACAAAAATCCAACCACTACACTTCTGAAATATGGATATAATAGGGCTCATGTAAAGCATGACGCCACACTAATGCAAATGACATACGCTTGTATAGAGTTGAATTTCAACAACCTTTTAGATCGAAATCTGGACATTTCAAAGGCAGAGCACTCGGTCTCCCGACAAAACACTAGACTGAGACGAAATATCAAAACAATATGGATGAAAAAAGTTATTTGGACTCCCAATTCCAACCTCAAACTTCCATGAAATAATCAACTTTACAACTTTCCACACCAAAATGGCTCTGTTCACATAGTTTTATATTTTTAGATCAGTGCTTGCCAATCTGGGTGGTATAAAAAAACTGGTGTTTGATTCGGTACTTTTAGTGGGCAGTGGGGATGATCAAAGTAGTGACGGCTATTATTTAATACCTCTATTGGATGTACATGAGCGTACAAACATTTTAACCTCTCAAATGTGGCAAAAGTTGGCACAGACTACATAAGGGTTGACCAGCACTACTTGAGAAAATAAACAGTGGAAACTATGTAGTACTATAATAATAAATAGCATTTGTATAGCGCAGAAATATTCCTATTCAACAGCAAACTCTTTGCGCTTTACCATTTTTATTATGACCTCAGCGGACCCTAGAATACTCAGAAGTATTCTTGACTTCCTGGGAAGTCCACAGAGCAAACAGGTTAAAAAACTCACTCTATAAAGATCTTCAGAACAGGTTGAATGACTCAACCCTTACACTCAAATAAACAAAAAGATGCAGGTTTCTTTAGGTACTCTTAAACACAAAAAAGCTCCCTCAAGCACTGTAAGCCTACCACAATCAATAGCATGCATGCCAGGCAGAGAAAATACAGCTACAAAGTGTAGCAAAGTAATGCTACATGTTCATCTCCCAAAAATCAGGACCAAAATAACAAAACATGATAACACACTAACCAACCTCACAGAGATAAGGCATAACATCCAACGGTTCCACCGATTCCACTATGTCCCGATAGTTCTTCCGGAGTTTTTCCCAGTGTTGAGAATTCATACCTTAGAAAAATATGTGAGCATATAAATAAGTTCCTCGCAAGGACATTATAATTCTTATGCACACCTTTGATGAAACAAACAATGAAAAGAAAACTTCCAATTCTAATGCTGTACTTTAAAAGAGAGCATTTAGGAATATCAACAAAGATAAAATGAAAACATTAATTTTGATCTGTGCATTTTTTAAAAACAGAATTTATGTTAAAATTATACCATGTTGGTAGCAAGACTGCTTATCACGTTGAGTTGGTTATCAAAACTAAGCGTTTTCACACCAGAGAGAGAGAGAGAGAGA